AGCGTGGCGGGTGAGGAGGTTCAATGAGGGGCTTGGGACTTTGGACGATAACATTATTACATTATATACCATCTGCATTCACAGATCTGATCATGATGCTAGATACGGTGGGTGCTGTTGAGTCGAAGGAACGCTCCATGATTCCTAAACACCACTATATATGCCATCACAGGGTGACCGTGGTCCGTTGAACCCATCAACCGTGTGAATATCAAGTGCGAGGACATTTGACGGTTTACAGCCAACGACAGTACCGAAGGCGCGGATCAATTTTTTCTAAATTTGGAGGTTTTTGATATCTCTGAAAGAATTAGCCATACCTCACTCAGTTCTGCACTGTTTAGGCTGTAAGTATGCTACATAACTCGGGCTAATTCATATGCAATTACTCATAGAGCCAGAAGAATGAAATAAACTTATTTTCAATGAGCTGGGAAATTGGGCTCGCCGTGCGGTAAATTCGCGCCAGCACTCTCAAATCACCTCGAATCACCGCTATTCTTTGCACAGGGCGAGGCACACGTCCTTTAATTTACATCATAGAAGCAAATGACTGAATATCGCCCCCAGAAGTCTTGAAACCGCAGTACGGGGGATTTCCCTCAGAATCTTGGTGACCATGTTGAAATTGGAATGCTGAGCAAATTGTTCACTCTAACTGGTGAATACCCCATATTAGAGAATGTAATACATCCACTGGGCTCTCTTACCTGCCTAAAACAATTGATATGCGCCACTAAATTAGACGCGTCGCGTCGCGTACCATCAGCATCACACAGTCACTCAGCCACAAGATCTCGGAGTCCGCACTCCTTCCGCATCATTGGACGCGCGTCCTACTTTATCCACTCATCGACAAAGCATGGAACTCGACTTTTAGAGCAGAAGAGGAAAGCTAGGTTGAACTCAAGGTGTGTTGTACAAAGGCTTGCAGATGTTGAATCTCTTTCACTCATCTGCACTCGGAGATTATATTCCTGCAGCAACGACTCTTTTACGTCTAGCAGCTGCGAGAGATGCAGTATTGGCCGGCCATACATGCTACGAGTGGCACGACGCGCGTCTGATGATGCAGAAAGGCGGTGATGTGATAAGAAGTGACATCATGAGGTACGCGACGCGTCTAATTAGTGGTTCGGGAAGAGTATTTCGCCTTTTTGAGCAGATGGTTCAGTTTATGAGATCACTTTTATCCTCTAATCGGTGGTATGCGCTGTTCAGATTGACCAAGCTGGTCAACATACCAATTTCAACGTACTCACCGAAAAATCCCCCATACTGCGGTTTCAAGACTTCTGGGTGCGATATTCAGTAATTTGCTTCTATGATGTAAATTAAAGGACGTGTGCCTAGCCCTGTGCCAAGAATAGCGGTGATTCGAGGTGATTTGAGAGTGCTGGCGCGAATTTACCGCACGGCGAGCCCAATTTCCCAGCTCATTGAAAATAAGTTTATTTCATTCTTCTGGCTCTATGAGTAATTGCATATGAATTAGCCCGAGTTATGTAGCATACTTGCAGCCTAAACAGTGCAGAACTGAGTGAGGTATGGCTAATTCTTTCAGAGATATCAAAAATCTCCAAATTTAGAAAAAATTGATCCGCGCCTTCGGTACTGTCGTTGGCTGTAATTAGAGCTTTTTTGAGATGGCCTGCTGTTGTTTTACTGTCGAACCACTGCTACCGCCACTTTCTGCACTGCCAGCTCGATTTTTGCGTATTTCTCCCGGACCCCTGAAAATACCCCAATAGGCCAGGGGCCCCGTCCCGACGAAAATTCGAGCTTTGGGGCTTCAAACCCAGGTCCAATTTTGACAAAAACTGGGGGTTTAGGCAGAAAACGCCAGGTCCTGTCCCGACAAAAAGTTCAACTTTTTGGCCAACTTTGCACCCAACTCTTGTTGTTTCGGAGCAAAACTCTCGGGAACAACAATTTCAGCTCGAGAAATGCGGGGAAACGGAGCATGATACTAATTGTTTCTAGCTGCCTGATACTGCTCCTGATACTATTAGTATGTATCAGGATCACTGAAATCGCGCCTGAAACGGAAGGTGTCGGGACACCGGAAACGGATGCCGATATGACCCGTAACCTAACCTAACCCGTTTTGCCAGCTCGATTTTTGTATTTCTCCCGGACCCCTCATCAGCAAACCCGGGGTTTTGCCATAGTTGACTGTAGTCAGTCTGTAGTTGCCATAGTTCCGGGTCGTTTACATAATAGGGTGTTTCAGAATTAGAATTCACGCCCAATTCCTGCCTCAACTTGTGCCTCAACTTGACCCCAATTCGTCAAGTTGGGGTGCAAGTTGAGGCACAAATTGGGGCATCAATTGTGAACGACCTCAGTCGTAGATTACGCCAAGTTGAGGCATCAGATATCAATCATGACCGAGAAGGCAGCTAGCCGAAGTTGGGGCATCAAATTGAGGCACAAATTGAGGCAAATTGGATGTCAGATGGTGACCCACATCAGCAAACCGGGAGTTTTACTGTAGTTGTTTGTAGTTGCCATAGTTTGGCCCGAATTATGTAGTGGTCTGTAGTGGTCTGTAGTTTCCATCCTAGCCACATAGTTGTCCATAGTCAAGCCCGCACTCTACATAGTTGTCCATAGTTGAGGCCGCACTCTATAGTTGTCCATAGTTGAGGCCGCACTCTACATAGTTGTCCATAGTTGAGCCCTCACTCCATAGTTGTCCATAGTTGAGGCCGCACTCTACATAGTTGTCCATAGTTGAGTCTGCACTCTATGTAGTTGTCCATAGTTGAGCACACATTATGTAGTACCGTTGTCAAACATTGTCTGAACTCGCGCCCGACGTTAATGGGTCATATTGGGAATGAATCCTATTGTTAAGTACATCTGTTGTGGTCGTCAAGCTCTGAAGTTTGTACGTTCCCCCTCTTCTTGTTCTCCTGTGGATCTGTTGTCAGCTCGTACACTCGCCCTCGTCATTCATTATGAATCAGTGGGTATATTAATATTGAAATGAGGTGCGGTTTGTCCTTCAAGACACTAAAAGTCCTTATTTTTGATTGTTCTGGCTTTCAAAACCGCCGCATCTGGGAAAGTATTTCACATTTTGTCCTTCAACTAAGCTGTTTAAGGAAAATTGTGCTAAGACAACTTTTATAGTTCTTTTCGAGCTCTACAACTTTGGTTTTTAGATTCCCAAATATTCCTACCTTTGGAAGTATTTACGCCACTCAGACCTGGTGATCAGAGTACATCCACCTATCCTTATTAGGTTCAAGCCTTTGCACGGTCTCTTAGTCTACTTGGTAATGCGCTTACTGCTCTCTTTCGTCCGAATCCGCGAGGTCGCGAGTTCGATCCTGGTGATAGTGATAGTGATAGTATTATACACAGCATGGTCCAGTCTCTGAACGCTGTGTTCCCAAGGGCAGCCCAGCACGTGTGAGCCTCTCGTGCTTTCTCCTTGGACCCCAACTACCCTACTTGACGAGCTATTCGTACCGAACGTCTATCAAAAGCAGGATGCGAAGTGGTAAATAAAAAGAAACTAATTCTTGTGCCGCGGTAGCATCAACCAGTGAAGAGGAAGGGGGGGAATATACATCGGAGTGGCCTCAAAAATTTGAACAACTTTGTACGCAAACTTTGCAACTAGCGAGATTGTGTCTCTGTAAGCTATTAGATGAGTAAGGTATCGTGCGGGCGGCATGGTGTCCATTTCTGGAAGTCCGCTAACATCCCTCCTCATTCTGGTAAAGAAATCCTCCCGGAGCGCGATTAAATCGGGCTGGGCGTCGCATTCCAGCATTGCATGCTCCGGGGATTCAATCTCAGCTTTACAAAATCTGCAGACTCGCAAGTTGCGATCAATTCGAGGGCGTCTAAGTTAGAACGCACTTGTTTAATTAATAATTAGAGGTATCTAATAAATGTAGTCCATGTTCAGTAAGTCCAGTGAAATGAAATGAAATGCAACCACAGCCTTGAAAGTGGATGAGTGAAAAGTGGTTACTTTTCTCTGCTTGGCCCCCTAAACTACAGCAACTATGGAGCGCTACATAGAAACTACAGCAAACTACAGAGCACTACATAGGAAACCTCTCGAACTATGGAGAACTACAGAGAGGGTACCCTTACTATGGCAACTACATGAACTACAGCAACTACAGGAGCTCTGTAGATCTAGGTAGCACATCCCTGTTTTGCTGATGCACCCCACCATTTGACATCCAATTTGCCTCAAATCTGCCTCAACTTGTGCCTCAACTTCTGGCAAGTTGAGGCACAAGTTGAGGCAGAAATTGGGCGCAAATTCTAATTCTGAAACACCCTAATGCTATGTAGTTTCCGGCCATCTATGTAGCTCTACGTAGTTTAGGCTCAACTATGTAGTGCTACATAGTTTAGGCTCAACTATGTAGTGCTACATAGTTTAAGGGGACCCTACATAGTTCTATGTAGTTTAGGCTCAACTATGTAGTTCTACATAGTTTGAGGGGACCCTACATAGTTCCATGTAGCTTGGGGGGGTTCTCCATAGTTCTATGTAGTTTGGGGGGTTCTATGTAGTTTGGGGGGTTCTATGTAGTTTGTGTAGTTCAACAGGGTATTATATGGTGCAGATGGATTTCTGATCAGTGACTCTTCAACGCATCCGCCAAATTGCAGAAAGTCTTGTTTTGAGTTGTTCTGGCCTTAAAAATTGTCGCGTATGGAAAAGTATTTTGTGTTTTACGCTTCAACCAAGCTGTTTGGCAAAAAATGGTATAGACAACTTTTGTAGCTCTCTTCGAGCTCTACAACTTTGGTTTTGGTCTATTTTTAACATCTAGCACATATTTTATCCACCCTGGAATTTTTTTCAAAGTGAAAAGTCTTTCAGAGTGGATAGAAAATTATTCACACCCAGCTACTTACAGCAGACAGTGTGAATGGGCAACGGGTGAGGGCGGAGAGAAAAGTAACCTGGCTTGGATATAGGAGGGTACCTATGTATCAGATTCATTCCCACTAACTTACATGCTCTGTTGGCTCAGTTGGTTAGTGCACGGAAGTCTGCCTTTTAGCCGAACCCTCGAGGTCGCGCGTTCGATTCTCTCAGGAAGCACTTTGTTTAGTTTAATGAATTAGAACAGAACTACAATACAACAAGACATTAGTTTAAATACGACATGACTGTTACCATTGAACAACGTGAAATAGTAGTAGTAGAGCACTGGTAGCCGGTGATCGAGTAAAACTTTTCTGACCCTTCAGAACCTCAACTACGTAGAACTACATAGAACCCCCTCAACTACATAGCACTATGGAGCAACCCCCTCAACTACAGAAGGCTACATAAGGGGGGACCTAAATACAGTCACTACAGCCACTACAGGGCCTACGTAGCACTACTTAGCAGACCCAGGGTTTGCTGATGCTTGAAAATACCCCAATAGGCGAGGGACCCGTCCCGACAAAAAACTCAAGTTTTGGGGCTTCAAACCTAGGTCCAATCCTGACAAAAACTGGGGGTTGAGGCAGAAAATGCCAGGTCCTGTCCCGACAAAACGGGGAAATGCGACAGCCGCAGAAAATTTGGTGGTTCTGGCTTGTGGGAGTGAGAAATTACTATGTTCAACATGAAATAGAAGTAGCTCCACTTAAGTTTTAGGTGGTCCGAACCACTTCAGGACTTAAGTCCTTCGGAACTTAAGTTCTCCCCCGGGCACGCCAGAACGGTCGTAAGCGCCCCTCAGCAAGGGAGCAACTTAAGTCCCATCGATATAACTCAAGTCCTCCCTAACCACAGGCAACTTGAGTTCCTATGCAACTTAAGTTCTACTTATCACGTAAGTTCTTTTGTCGGAATCAAAATCATATTCACTCGAAATTATTCTATGGGCCGGAATACATCCTGAAGTCTCGTAAGTAGAGGAACCATGAAGTTTACGATACAAAGACTTCTGAGTCAAGCCAACCAGCGGGGTTCCCTGCACAGCGGGTGACTTGGACTCACCTGCAGTGTACAGTGCATGTTCGTCAGCATGTACGACGTCACCGGGCCATTCCTGTCTCGCACCCCCGTCCTCATGTGTACTCAGCGCAACACGACTTGGCTCGGGACGGGGCAGCAAGGAGGAACAAGAGGCAGTGAGGGGAAGGGGGAGGGAGGGCAAGAGGCAGGGGGGAAGAAAAGGAAAGGATGGTGTCGTGCAGATCAGCGAGCAGATGAATGACGAGCCCTAGCTGTGTACATACCTCCTTCAGCACACAGTTCTTGTCATTGAGCACGATCCCACAGTGTGGGCGGCATCGGTTGCTAAAGATATCATGTCACAAGTCAGCGAACCCGGGAAGAAGGCACGCAATAGTTGTATGTACCTAGAGTTACTCGTGAGGACACAGCTGGGCAAGCCACGCGCCGGCAGATGGCTTTGGAGAACTGGATGGGAGCACGGGTAAGCGCTGCACGACAGATGTAGAAACAGGAGGGCGACCTGAGATGGCGAAAGCCGTTCAGATGCAAGTGGGGGGCGGGTGGGTAGAGGGAGACGTGCTAATAGGCAGATCGGACCCGTCAAGGGCTAACACGTTGCCAAGAGGGTGGGGACGACGTGGAGCGCAGGTGGCATAGAGATGGTGGGAGGAAGAGAAGAGAAGAGATGGCAGCGTGACAGTAACGAGACGGTGATTTGGTTGCCTGTGAAGCCGCATGTCAATTCCATTGTCCACTGATCAAAGTAATGATCACTTCTCTTCTTGCTCCTGACTTCCACCTTCATCGACACCACTCACCGTTCAACTCTTCCTTAACCCCAACCCATTGCCTAGGACGGTGTGTCCAAGGCTCACTTTGACCTTTGCGTCAGCGCCGGTGCATTCGTGGGACTTGACATTCACATCAGTCCACAACTTGGTGGCTCAGCCTAGCGAAGGGTGGCACACCGTACGTGGATATCTTTTCCATACTCGATTCTGTTGTTGCGGGGTGCCTGTGAGATCCATTCGATGAAAGGCCATGTGCGCCGTCGGTTGTTACTTGATTTGACTTGGGATGCCACCGGCATCTTGCATCCACTTCATTTTCTGTGAATGCCACCTCTGTTCCGGTGTCATCAATCTTTTTAATTTCCATTCTCATTCTTATTTCCATCTGACTGTTTAAACCCAGTGTTTACAACGCTGTACTCGGTGTGCGCTGGTGTTCATTTCCATCTTCGGGTGAGCTTTATTTTCATTCTGGCTGACTTGGCTGATTATTTCCGGCGGCAGTTCACAATGTACTACTATGTACTGGGTGCACACTCACGTTCATTTTCATTCTCCAGTGAGTTTCATTTTCATTTTCATTCTGTTTTTCACTCAAGCTGACTCCTATTTTCATTTCGGCACGAGTTTGCTGACATCACTGAGGACTTTCAGCACTGAAGCGAACATGGAACTTTGAGTTGTGGCGAACTTGAGTTCCACGTTCACGGAATCTTAAGTACTGTACGTGTAGAAACTGGACTGAAATTACAACTCAAGTTTGGGCATCTTAAGTCGTTGCAATATCTTAAGTTTGCTAAGACTTAAGTTTCAAAGAATAATAGTTTACAGTATACGCATAGTGCACCTCTATCCTATGTAGGCAGGACTTAAGTTCTCTATCACTTAAGTCCTCTGGTGGTCTGGACCGCCTGGAACTTAAGATGAGCTAATAAAGTATTTGGTTCAACTAGATCCGGTCCCGACAAAATTGACCCAAACCCGCCGAAAGTTGTGCCGACAAAAAGTGGCGGATTTTGGACTTTCGGGACGGCCTACAAGGGTATTTTCAGGGGTTCTATTTCTCCCTACCTTGGATATCTTTCTCTAAAAGAAAATTTGATGGCATCACCTCATGTAGGGGGTAGGCCAAAAGTAGTGAAAAAAATAAAATTGTAGGTGATATCCTTTTTTCTTATCTTTGATCCCCCTCTGGCCAGCCGGAAATATTCACCGTTGGATCAGTGTCGCACCAAATCACCTGTGAGTATGTTCACAGGATGTGCGCCGACCGTCTGAGACCTCAAAAACATGTATTGTTCCCCATCTTGGTATTTCACCAAGACCCTCACGGTGGCCAGGTTCCCAGTTCGATATAGTACACCAAACACTCCAAGAAAAAAATAATGTCTGGCGGAAGCGATGTTTATTAAACTACTGAAGAACAGGGAGTATGCTAGCTGATTAAATAGTGTTGGATCCTAATTTAGTGTAAAGGAGATAAATGAGAAACATGTGGACGAGCATGTGGTTGAAAGAATAGGAAGTCCATAAGCGGTAAGAGAAGTTCGACCTGTATCAGTATTGATCTTGGGAAATGAAATATGAGGTGATGAAATCTGCCATGAGGCGATGGAAGGCAAGAGGGAACATGTGGAGAGGTCGTTACCCCTTGATACCAGCCACGACTGACCGTGAGAAGTCATTCCAATACTAATACCAGGATTCCGGTTGGCTCCGGGTTTCCGGTTGACTCCGGAAACACCGGAGTGGACCAGAGTGCCCATGGAGAACTGGAGTGGTCTTGGGTGACGAAGACCATGGTCCAGGGATGTGGTTGCATGGATATAACACATCGTCAGCCGAATTTTAAACATGTATACACATCTGATTTTCAATTAAACAACCAACTACAGCGTGGGTTGACAAACACCCTTGTCCTAATCCAACTCGGAACGAGTTCTTCAAGTTCGCTTGCCTTAGGCTAACCAAAGAAATAATGAGATCATTTCATCCTCGAACATGGAGATTAAACACACAGGATGGATTGCGCCCTGCAACGATCTTCCTCAGGACATCCGCACAGTACGGCCTGTCTCCCTTGCACAAGTCGTCTAGAACTTGGTCGATCTCCTCTCTCAGGGCGGGAAAGCTGTTCAGTACGAACTCAACCTCGATGTCCTGTACCTCGGAATATCTGAAAAACATAACTTGACGTCACTGTTGAGGGTGCGAAACCTACCTTGAGGTAAACTTGGAGAAGACCTGCTGTATAATGTTCTCTATGGATAAATCGGCTTTGATGGAGAATAGTGAGGAGGCCTTGAGTGCGTCCAGCCCAAGCTACAGTGATTGGGTAAGTAAGACTACGACTGGTACGTGGGAGCCTACCTTGTCGGCTAGTCGATACATAGATTTTGCAGAACACTGAGGGGTTCTGCATTGACTCTCGACTAGCTGCGGAGCGGAGGAGAGCGACAGCTTGCTTGTGTACAGATAGATAGTAGAGAAGAGCCTGCCATCTGAATCAAAATTGCTTCAGTAGACTTTTGTTGCAGGGAGACATCCGGCCCGCGGAACTTGTGCGGGATGGAGAGAGAGGGACCTCGGTGGCTCGTCGACCAACAAACGGAGCTTCTGACACATCCGAATGGCCAGTGGGACTTGCGGGACGGGAAGGGAAGGATGGGAGGGGCGGGGGGAGAGGCACCTGGCTAGCTTCAAGTTCTCGAGGAACAAACAAAGCTTCTGCCACATCCGAAAGGATAGCCCTCCTGAATATATGCTTGTAGCGTCAGATGGATAAAAAATAATAAAGCAAGTACCCACCCATCGGAGGCATTGTCTTCCACTTCTTCATCATCTGCCGAGTCCAAGTCGCTATCAGACATGTAATCGTAATCGTCCAAATAATCCTTGTTGATTTGATGGCGATCCAGACAAGATCCAGATCGACAAGTTTCGCCTCACGGAAGCCTCCCCCATGGATCAAGGGACATCGGGATTCGAAAATCGGAAGGTGGGTCGAAAAGTTTTTTTCAGCCTTGGCTGGACCCCCCCTTCCCTGCCATATCAGGAAGGTGTCTTCCCTGGTGCCGGGCCGCTCCCTCCGGCCTTCCCACCGCCTACCGGACCTCCTTCGGACAACTACTACTGCTTGATTTTAACTCTGAGCTACATATTATCCTTTCTAAAGCTATCTGAAGGCCTACCAAGACTGCAAGTGGACCTGCAGAATTTTTTTGAACCACCTCCGTGACCACTGACCAACCACTTTTGGTTGAACTTGGCTGGAGTTATCATTTCAACACCTTCTGAGGTGAGTGGGAAGCTAAAAAGTGAGGTTTCTCACTCATTTGGGGCCCTCATATGCCCTAC